TAATAGACAAAAGCTAACTTTTTTTGAGTTAAAGGCGTTTTCATTCTACGGGGTGCGGCAGGATTATTGCAACTAATATTTTCTTTAAAGATAGAAACCGATAAAAGAGAAATCAACTCAAAACTTTAACAATTGGTTTTTAAAGTAATATTAAACAAGAAAGCCTAGTTCCATTTAAAAAGATATTTATGGGCCTTGTGACATTTGAGAAATGCATTCATCGTGGCCAAATGGAAAGAGGCATCGAGTTTATCACATGCTTTTTGAAGAAATTTCTGAAGCGAATCAATGCTGGGATTCGCTTTTGAGCATGTTGTTGTTTCAAGAACATTCGAAACATTGAAATCCATTGAATTAAGATTGGGATCTCAGGATGACCACTAAAAGTGGCCAAATCGGGAAAATGCTGCTTGCGCGAGTCCTGAATCACTCGAGCCTTGAAAGCATTAGCATCATTTTGCATTTGCCATTTGCACCAAATCCTGTTGCCAAAGTAATCTTAAAAGTTTATTTTACAATTATCTGAAAAACTACAAAAATGCGAAGAAACTGTGTTGTTAACTTTAAAAAAGATGGAAAATTTGGTAGGAAAAAGAAACAAAAACTTTAGACCAAATTTGATGCAGAAGAAAGATATTAAAATTAAATAAAAAGATAGCTGATTGGAATTTCTGTTGTAAGGTCTGTTTCTCTTCAAAAATTTCTCTTTTTTTGTTCTCTCATTTGGAGAAAACTTGATGAGACTGTTGACGAGACCCTCGACGAGACCGTCGATGAGACCACTTCTGAAAATGTTCAAGTGTTTTGAAGCTTGCCAAGAATTTTGTAAGATCCAAAGCTTAGTACTGTAATCCGATAAAAATTATTAGATCAACACTAAGTAACAACAATATCTTTGTCTTTATCTAAATATTCAACTTAACCCACTTCTTTCCACCACCAGAAGAAGAGGTTGCAGACGAATTTCTCTTTTTTTGTTCTCTCATTTGGGGAAGATGGCCAGAACCAGAAGAAGAGGCTGCAGTGTACGTTGGTGGGACAAACTTTTGCACGCTTTGTTGTTGATTCATCGAATATCCGCACACAGTTTGCTCAAAGAGTTCTTTGAGTTTTGCTCCAAAATGAGGCAATGCGAAGAGGATGGCTTTCATATTCTTGACATCATCAGTGGTGATCTGTTGCTGATGGTTTCCGCCGGATTGCAAGGCGTGCTCGATAGCGGCTCGTTCTGCAAAGTGGTTGATTGATTAAAGAAATACCACTAGGTTTTAGATACTATCAGCTATTTATCATTTGAATGAGTTCCTCTAAACTTTCTAGGTTTTCCAGAGCGTTTGAAACTGAAAATACTGTAATTTCAAAGTTCAAAGTGTAGCTACAATGACCTATCCTTAGTCCTGCTTAAAAATTCTAGATTCTTAGTGGACTCCAAACTCAACATACCCTGTCGATACTCATCCAAACAGCGCTTCAGATTGGCCAGTTTCGTTCGATCTCCCCCCGCTTTGATACATTTTTCCTCTTCTTCAATTGACTTTTCCACATATTTCTCAAAAACGTCATTATACGTCATAATTGCGTTTTGCTTCAAGAAAACCGCGAAACGAATGCTCGCATCCATCACCGTTTTCTGTTCATTTTTGTATTCTTTCACGATTTTCTCACACGATTCGATAATCTTCTGCTTTGTGATCCGAGCGTCTTCATTTGTTTGAATAGCATTCTTTATATTCACATCTTCAACCGATTCGTTCGTTTTCACTTGCTTGAAGCGAATGTGCATGTGAGTAGACCAGAAACAACCACAAACTGTACAACTTTGCCCACCCCGCATTGCCCAACATTTTTGTAGACGAGGTTCGGGGAATCTCTCGGGATCAACTTTGCCCAATTCACAGTGATCATGACAAATCTGTTTGTAGATCGTTTGCAATTGTTCACTGTTCGGAATCGATTGCGTTTCGATGCATTTTGGGCCAGTGCAGACGGTCATCGGATAGCTGAGCTCCTCGGTTTTGATCCCAATTTGTGGGATCAACAACTTCTGTTGCAAGTCATTGATCGTCGCTTTCGTGTTTTCAATCTCGACTTTTCGATCATTATACACTTTGATGTTCGTCTCAATCAATTCATTGATGTCGGCCAAGGGTTTAGCCAGTTGGAGAATGATTCCACGAGCTTGATTCACTGAGAGAGTCTTGTCAACAGAATGCGGTTTGCATCCAGCCGCATAGTCAAGGAAGCGATGCGTCTCATCAGCCGATTTTGCCCAACTCGCTTCGAAATTTTTCATGTCATCTTCGCTAAACTCAACTCCATCGTGATAGGCACAAACGAATTTGAAAGCCTCGTTGTCCAAGCAGAAGATCTTGCTCGGATCAAGAGCCACTTGAATCCCGTGTTTTGCTTGAAGTTCATCGAGAAAAGCTCTTAAAGGGACGATTGTATCCCCTGGTTTGTAGAAATTCCCACGGGCATTTGTGAAGACAAAAACACGATATTCTTGGCGGCATCTTTGTGCAATTGAAGTAGCAACTCTCCAATGCAATATCTAAAGCTCAACGTCATCCGAGCGTCATTCGATTTGAACAATAGACAAATTGCATGTAAATTCTTGTAAGCTGCAATTGCATTCAGAATTTTCCTTGTATTCTCCTTGTCTTGCTCAATTCGAACGAACATCTCCCATGCCAGGGGTATCGATGATAGAAACATCATACTTCGGGTGTGGGAAGAGATAAGTTCGAGCGTCTTGTGTCGCACTTTGTCCTTGTCCAAACACTTCATTCGTTGAATTTCCGATGACGATTTGTCGTTGTTGATAGTTCTCGTCACACATCGTGAACATTGATGGAATGACACAGATCGGCTCTGGGGCTTCCAATGCATCAACGATGTGATCAAAGCTCATATAGTTGGCGATGCCATTGATCCACGTCGATTTTCCGACTCCCGTTTCACCGAGTACAAGAATGTTGATCTCTTTTCGAGGCCCAGAGTATTGGTTGTTCTTTGATTGATGGAAAGTGGGTAAGTCCGGCAAAACTGGCGGATTTTTCGAAGAGCTTGGCTTGCCTGGAATTCATTTGAATTGGAAAGAAGCTTTATTTTTCATTTACTATTTTGTGTTTTTGGCTTGGATTTCTGTGGAACGGGTGTTTGTGATGCTGAGTAAGGAGGCTGGGGTCGCGGTCGGATGCCTTAAAATTGAGTTCTTAAATGTTTAGATTCATCAAAATTGAAGTATTTTCTAAAATTGAAGTACGCTTAGGAAACAAACTAAGTATGTATGTATTTTGAATTAAGTCAGCAAGACTGTATCTATTAGGTTGATGCATAAGTCTTTTCGTTTTTTTCGTACTTCTGTTAAAAAGTAACAAATTCACCAATTAATCTATAGTTTGCTCTATAAAAAAAGTGTTTTTTTGTTCAATTTCCATCTTTTTAAATGAATTTCGGTTCACTTTCAAGCAAATTCGAGAGTGAAAAACGCCTTTTTCGTAAAAATCTATAAAAAACCCTACGGAAAAATTGGCTGAATGAATTACTCTGAAATCAAACTTTTTTTCTCTATCTTTTATCTATTGACACGAAGATAGGTTTTCTTTAGCTAAGGTGTCTAAACCGCATCATCGAGTTAGCCCTTTTTGACTACCCGACTTCATACTCTCAAGAAAATCCAGGCATTAAATATTTTTAAACCCGTTTTAATGTTATTTTGCAGAAAAATAATTGGTTTTTCTAATGAAATCAACCGTAGTTTAATTGGTGCATTTGTGGGCTTGCAACGGCAGACGAAAAGGAACGAAAAGACTTATGCATCAACCTAATAAATGCCTGGTGACTAAATTTGGGGGTACAGTTTATCCAAATGCACCTTTTCGAAGTTTAAGTGTCCCTTCAAATTCATTACATCAAAACTCTCAAAGTTGCAAAGTTCTTACCTTGCATGGGTTGCATTCCATAGCCCGGGAAAGCTGGATTTGGATTGAGTGCCCCATTTTGTTGCATCGGTTGTTGTGCTTGCAGCTGCATTTGTTGCATGAAGAGCATCTAGAAGAAAATGTTTTGAACCAATCAAACTTGTAGCTACCATTTGTTGCATAAAATTTGGATCCTGCATGAATCCCATCATATTTCCGTTGGGCATCTGTTGAACTTGAGGTGGCATTTGAGGAGTTTCTGCCGGAGGAAAGCCTGGTTGGAATTGCTGAAATTATCACATTTTATAATTTCTTTGATGAATACTAAAGTTGTGTAAGTACCGGTAAATTTGGAATGCGGGATGGAGGCTGGGAATGGAGAGAGATATCTAAAAGCTTTCCACTTTAGTACAACTTTATGTTTTTTAGAAAGGTTTCATGTTTTCATTCATAAGGCTATTCGAAAAACTGTCCATTGGAAGACTGTAGCATTTTCCGGTAAAAGCTCTTAGCATTGCTACTTGTTTGGGAAAGTTGCGGCAAAATGGGGCGCGGAGGTTCCGATCGAGAGACATACTTGCCTGAAAAAAATGTCATGATAACTTTAACAACAACAACCACAATAACAGTATTTAGGTCTAAGATTTATGTACTTTTTTTCGCACACACTCTGTGCCAAATATGTACTTTGTGTTCACTAGATGCCTAAACGCCTTCTTTCTGGCGCACCGATTTCTCCATTATTTTCTTCCTACAGTGGCGTTGATGTAAGAATTGAGTATCACTTCTTGAGAAAACAAAAGCAAAATTAAAGGTGGGGATCGAACTTGTGAGGTCTCCTCCTGGAAACGAGCGCTGTACCACGGCTACACCGAGCTGCGTCCGCAAAGAAGCCGCTAAGATCCAAATGAACACACTTTCAGAGTCCTAACAAACGCTTATAACTCCTGACAGATTGTGACTTCGCAAAAACGGAATACATATTCGTAATCAGTATAAAATTCTGCATCGAATAGTATAGGTCGCATAGGTTTTGGGTTCCCTTATCGGTATGAAAACTTTCCTTTCCTAAAACTAACCATTCGAAGGATTTGTCGTACTCCCGTACAAGCTCCAAGCGTGGCTGTTTTGTGGAAGTTGAGGCGAATCAGATGGCGGTGGACGTTGAGGTCGTAATTCTTTCTTGCCTAGGATCAAAGCTTTTGATTTTTTGGATAAACAGGTTGATCAAAACAGAATGCAAACGTTTAAACGTTAGTGGGTCATTTCCAATTCATAGAATAAATCAAAATCGACAACATGCTTACCTCTTTGCTCGAACTTTTGATCGGGACTCTTCCGAGAAGTGGCACCGCGATTCCCCTTCGCTCTCGTCGGCTAAAAGTTTCAAATGGTTCCGTAAAACCTTTTACAAGTCATGCAAGCCTTGACATTATGATCGCTCCTGCAAAAGGAATCAAAACTAAGTTATGGGTATTCTTGAGCTCACCCGCGCTTTCTTGTTTTGACGTTTCGTTTGTTGTTTCGGAAGTGGTTTGAATCGTTGTGCCATCGGTGATTTGTAGGCATAAAGCGTTAGATGTTTCAGTTGACGAATCTTTGAGAGTTGCCGCGCACATTCGACAACGTTTTGTTGCACATTTTCATCGGTGAATGTCACAATTACACGACGAGGTCTTCCATTTTGTTCAAATCGTCCTTCTCGTTTGATCTCGCGAATATTTCCGGCCAGACTTCCGGCGTTGATCGCATATAGAACTTGTAGAAAAGCATTCCGATCGGCTTGTTCTTTCATCTGATCATCGCCAAATGGTTCTAGGAGGTTGAAAAGCGCGATTTTCTTTTTCACATCTGCATCGCGATCATTGAAATGCAGTGGCTGTTGAGAAGGGTTGAATTGGCGTGTTTGATCGAAAGGAGCCGACTCCGTTGCACTGACTTCATCATCCTGAAATGTTCTTGTAAATTTAGCTACAGAACTCTGTGAACTTTTATACAGTGCGTTTCAAATTCTTAAACGCACCCTCTAAAATAGCGAATTTTGCATTTTGACCACCTCTACAACTATTAATCTTTTTTCTATTAGAAAGAGCATGTCTGAAAACCTAAATAACACGAAAAATAAGCATACTGTAAAAAACAAAAATTTTCAAAATAGAAACTTTTTGCTAAAACAACCGTTTCAAATTCTTAAACGCACCCGCCCTCGCTGTTGTTATTTGAAACTTTTCGTTTTGTTGTGCATATTTTTTTATTGAATTTATAATTTTTGTTAATTTCCAGATAAATGGCACACGGAAAGCTGCTCACGGATTATGAGAAAGGCCAAATTAATGCCCGTTTGAGGATTGGCGACTCAATAAGGAAAATCGCAAAAAATTTGGGCCGATCCGACTCTGCCGTGCGAAATTATATAAAGTCCGAGTTCGTTTCTGCACCAAAGAAGAAGCCAGGACCAAAACCAAAGCTTACACCGCGAGCTAGACGCCATATTGTGAACAACATCCACCGAAAAACAATCAATGAAGTGAAAACGCAACGGAAAATCGACTCTTCGAAGTCGACAATTTGGCGAGCCATCAAGGAAAAACGCACATATCGATCGACAATTATTGAACATCAAACCGATCGTGAAGCTTTTGCACAAGAAAGCCCGATTGACCTTCGCCAAGACTCATATGAATCAGAATTGGTCTATGGTTGGAAAGCCGCTTATGTTTTATTATTTTTTTTGCGTTTAGGTGATCTTTTCCGATGAGAAGAAATGGAATTTGGATGGCCCCGATGGCGTTGGCTACTATTGGAGGGATCTTCGACGTGATCCGATGGTGTTTGGAACTCGAAACTTTGGCGGTGGTCCTGTGATGATTTGGGCCGCCTTTTGTGCTGATGGAACGGTCGCCCTGAAGATGGTTTCGAATCGGATGACTAGATAGATATCTTGAACAATTGCTTGTCGCCATTTTCGCTCCTAAATCAAGCCGTTCCCGATTTGTTTCAATACGACAACGCGTCAGTTCATCGAGCCGGAGATACCCGAGTCTGGCTGAACAGCAACAACATTGCAACTTTGGACTGACCCGCTCAGTCTCCTGACCTCAATCCGATAGAAAATTTATGGGGAATACTTGTCCGAGCTGTCTACAAGAATCATCGTCAGTTTCAAGACGTTTCCACACATAAAGCAGCAATTTTTTCGGCCTGGAGCGATCTCGACGTCTCTGCTCTTCAAAACCTCATCAATTCAATGCCAGACCGCATTTTTCAAGTAATTAATCGTTCTGGTGCGTGTACAGATCATTAGTTTTGATTTTTTACCTTTGATTTTTAATTTGTGTCGATAAATAACAATATTTTCATAGTGCGTTTAAGGATTTGAAACGGTTGATTTAGCAAAAAGTTTCTATTTTGAAAATTTTTGTTTTTTACAGTATGCTTATTTTTCGTGTTATTTAGGTTTTCAGACATGCTCTTTCTAATAGAAAAAAGATTAATAGTTGTAGAGGTGGTCAAAATGCAAAATTCGCTATTTTAGAGGGTGCGTTTAAGAATTTGAAACGCACTGTATATTACTACCAGTTTCATTTCTAGTTTAAAGTCTTTGCAATCACTGTTGAAAGACAATGCACTGATTGCAGAATCAGATCAACAGGCCATCTACAGTGTAGTATAGAATACAAAGCAAAGCCACAGTACTCAAACAATCAATCTCCTTAAAAGCCTAATTTTGACTCAGCCAAAGATACATAAATTGAGCTTTAAATGGAACAAATACAAAAAAACTACCGTAATTTAACGGCCATTCAAAGTTAAATTTCTGTGTCATTGACTGAGCCAAAATTAGCCTTTGAATACTTATCTTTAGACTACGGTAGGTTTCAATGGTGTCGTTTAGAAAACGAACTAGTATCTATTGTTTAACTTTCTGCTTTTCAACTTGCTCCATCAATTGTTTCAGGGTGACTTTCCTTGTCCAAGGCATCCAAAAATGCAGTCGCTGAGGCGGACATCGGATCGCTTGCCATTCTTAAAGTTAAATTAAAATAACTAATAAACTTTCAGAAAAACAAACATATTCAACTGTTTCGACAAGCTATTAAATTGAAAAAAAAACATAATAAGTTTTGTTCAAACGAGCACACAACGGGCACACTTTCTATACTGAACAATGAGATTTGTTTTTGTGACCACTTCGACGATGTCGAGTTCCGGGAAGTCGAATGATTTCTTGTAAATGGACGATTTTCTCAATCCAGTCTCAACAATTAGATTATTTTTTAGTTCTAAAATTCTCAGGGAATAGTTCGCAAAAGGGATCTTCTCCTCTTCATTTGGCTTCTCACTTGCCAGGAATTTCTGCTGTTGGTGAATTGCATGCAACTTCCTCAGCTTATCAATCTCATATCGATCACTTCCCGTCTTCAGCGTTTGCTCCAATTGTTCAATTGAGAATTCGGCATATTCCTCGAAAGCAGAATTCACTGAAACGATTAGGTTCTCCTGAAGAAACGCAAAAAACGGCTTGGCCAGTTGTTGGGCTTTTTGATACCTTTCCCTGCAAGCATTCAGTTTTTGCTGGCTTTGAGTGATGTGCAAGGATTATACGTTTTTAACTGTTTTACTTTTTAGGTAGAATGGACAATCTCGGAGAGGGATTGGAAGAGTTCCGCGACCTCCGGGAACTTGAGCGAAATCTCTTTCAAGAAGACGATTTAAATCGAAAAGATGAGGTAGCGATGTGGATGCAGATTTGATTGGAAGCACGGAGTTGGAAAAGAAAACCAAGCGGAAAACGATCAACATCAGGACGAAACTCGATGTTGTGAAAATGGCTCGATTTACTTCTATTCTTCAAAATTGATCTCTCTATTGTGTGCGGCGATACATCAAACAAGGCAATGAGCTCGAGAAGCTTCATGGAAAAAGAAAACGAATCGACGGGGCCGGTCGCCGCTTGACTTCGGCTGAAATCGACGCGGCTTTGGCGCTGTGAATTCGTGAGCGAAGAGCCGAGAAAAAACGCGTCACTCGTCGAGTCATTTGGAACGAAGCAGCAAATCGTTTTGTTGATGCCGAGATGAATCCATTCCATTCAATTATTTATTTCATTCTCTTTGAAAGCGGAGATAAAGGGCTGTATGAAGAAAAAAAAGCAAGCAATTCATTTATGGTACAGAGAACTTCACAAGACAAGAATATCGAAGACTTTATAAAATTAGTCCGTTTTAAAACTCAGTAGATAAAGAGATAATTTAATTAGTAAAATAAAGATGAACAAAATGTTTCCGAAAGCTAATTTGTGTTGGTCAGTTCGACTTTGTACCCAGTTTTCGAAAATTTCTGAAAGGATCCAGTTTCTGCAGTGAATAAAATGAAAGTAAGAAATGCTAATGATAAAAAAGTGTCATTGATTGCATAAAGACAAAGAAAAAGAGCTCTTCTCGTCTAGTCTTTGCGCCAAAGATTGTTTAGAAGATTCCCATTTATCGCTCAGTCACAACAAGCAGCAAGAAGATTTTCTTGGTGACTTTTCTTCTGACAAATGCATACGCGATCATTCTTATAAACTTGTATTTTGTTGAAACAATTTGCCTCAAAGAATACAATGTCAGACTTTTTACAAAGTTTCAAAGAATTATTGTTATTACAAACAGCTTCTACTACTTTTACTGTAGGCACAAATAAATTTTTACTTCGGAATTTTCAAATAAAGAAACTAAATCTAGAAATTTGTCTTTTGTTGAAACAAGCAGACCCCAAAAGTTAGGTAGTCTAGGCTTATTGTTAGCCTACAATTAGTAAATCAATTCATATGTTGCGTCCGTTTACGAAATTACATTTAAATCGGATCGGACTCGGACGCCCGTTGAAGATTTAAAATGAAACTTCAGGCATTTTAGATCGACTTTTCGGCTGTTTTCGTAATTTTCACTCAGAAATCTCACTATTTGATTAATTTTTCAATTTTAGATTAACCTATAGCCAATTTTTTATTAAAGATGCAAGTTTTATTAAGAAAATGTTAGCCAAAATTGTATTAATAAACTAAAACGATAGAAAAGGCAGCTTTCTGAGGAAAGTGTACTCAATGTCCTCTAGATTTGATGGCTATAAAAACGTGTAGCCCAACGAAAATGCGCAAAATTATGCTTGATCAACAATCTTAATTTTACCGAAATTTTATTTTCCGATCTAAAGATAAGTCCGAAACGGATTTAAAGATAAGTTTAGTTCGTAAACAGACACAACACATATATTCTGATTATTAAATAAAGAACTCAAAGAATTTAAAGAACCCCAAATTGAGTAATTGAATCTTTTCCGATTACCTATCCTCAAGAATTTTTCTCTATCATGGAAACGCAGGAAAATATCATCGTGTATATTAACTAGAGAATTAAAAGTTAAAATCGATTTTAACTGTTAATTCTCTAGATCGAAAATTCCTTCAGCTATCTCTTTTAGTAGTGAAAATTTTTTGTTTTATTTTCGAAAGGTCAAATCCATTTTTGAATCGAAGGCTTTCCCCATTGCCTTTTGATAGTTTTTGAACGGTGACTCATTTGCTCTTTTCCCCTGCCTCCCGTTATCTCCTTTTTGCCACAAAACAAAAAAAAATTCGTCGCGTAAGCACACATTCTGTTGCATACGGCAACTCTCATTTTTCATAAATTCTCTGTAACAAAAAAAAAAATTGCACGATTTATCTTTTCCAACAAAGGAAAAGAGACGAAAAAGTAAAAGAAGGTCAAAGAAAGAAGTGTTGTCGATTTGGTGGTATAAGAAAGGAGTGATACACTATTCGTTGCTGAAAAACGGCCAAAGCATCGATTCGGAGGTCTACGTGCAACAAATCAAGGAGATACACTCAAAGCTGCAGGCTTTGAATCCCGCATTGGTCAATCGAAAAGGTTTTATCCTGGTGCAGGACAACGCGCGTCCTCACGTCTCCACAATGACACTCAGGGCACTCAATGATTTAAGCATCGAAGTCCTACCTCACTCAGCCTATTCACTAGACCTATTGCCACTTATTTAAGCACCTTGATTGCTTTCTCAGAGACCAAATATTCAAAGATGCGGTAGAGGTTCAAAATGTCATTGACGCTTTTATCAACTCAAGAACTTCTGCCTTCTGCATACATGGAATCGAAAAACTTGCCATCTGCTGGCAAAAGTGCATTGATTGTAATGGATGTTATTTTGATTAGTTTTCTTTTTCTTGACGCTTTTCAAGAAATAAAGGAAATTACGAAGTAAGGGTGATTTAAGCGAAGCCATCCTGAAATCCTAGTCGTTGATTGTCACATAAATGACCGACACACGACTGCTTTTATGAAATACCATGATAATGCGCTGGTGCGCAAAATCCGTCATTCAATGTCATTCAGCCGCTCTCAATTCCCGTATAAGGAAAGCAGTAGAATTATCCTTCAAAACTGATAGAAGATTCGGGATTGGAGAGTAGACTTGGCCTATCAAAACCTTATCAAAATTTATCAAAA